TTAATGGACTGACGCCTATCAGAAAACAACTACTCCCCTGGCTAATACCACGAAGGGCGTTGGATTATATCAGACAGGCGTCAGTGCAGGAATCTTCACAGAAAATGTCCTGCATATGCAATTGGCAATACAACTGAAAGAGTCGACCTTCAATTATGGAACGGGCACACTTGCAGACCGGTTTCGGGCTTATTAGCCCCTCATCAGTGCAAGATAGTGCCCATCATCGACCTAAAGTCAATGATACCTATTCCATAATCAAAAAATCGAAATTCTTTCAGAGTATTTCATTCCTCATCCTAAGTCGGAGCGAGCAATAAAATGTCACTCCATCTAGTAGACGAGAGACTAACCAACTGCATATCCGAAATTTGCCCGAATATCATAGACTTTAGATCTATGATGGCCACTATTTGGCATTGACTAGTGGCTAATGAGTCCGAAACCGGTCGGCAAGTGTGCCCATTACATAATTGAAGGTCGACTCTTTCAGTTGTATTGCCAATTGCATATGCAGGAAATTTTCTGTGAAGATTCCTGCACTGACGCCTGTCGGATATAATCCAACTCCGTTCGTGGTATTAGCCAGAGGAGTAGTTGTTTTCTGACAGGCGTCAGTCCATTCAACCTACTGTATAGGTATATCCGAGACTGGCTTGAACATTTAAAGGTCATTTCTTTAGATCACACTTTATTTTATTTAAATTTAAAGGTAGGAAGCACTTAATGAAAGATACTATAGTCAAACGGTTCAGCCAAAGTTATACTAGCCATAAAATGTTGAAAAATAAAGTTGGGAATACCAGGTGTTACCTGATGAACCGATAAAGAGTAGCACCACGAATCTGGTCTGTAGGTGATCATCATTTTTGTTTCAGTGAGGTCCTTCTGTTGGCAAACTAAAAGCCTCTGTGAGATTTTTCTCTGTATATGTCCGTCGCGCTATTACCCAGAAAAATTGTAATTTCCAGCAGACATTTATCGAATTCTACGTATAGGAAAATTACGGGTATTATAACAAGTAATAAAAATATGTGGCTGTTCGGCGCTTCCGTAGGAGACAACTCGTAAAGTTCTTTCCATTAATTCCATGTCACGGACATGGATTCAACTGCCATGCCAGTCCATTCCTGGTGTTGAACTTACAACGTGCAATATGTATTGATCTAAATTGGGGCATGCCCGTTTGAAACCCGGTATTATTATAGAACTCTCATTTTATGAAGCGGAGGAAAGTAAAATTCCAATGAAAGTCTGAGTGCATTTAAAAGATTATTACTTACTTGAGAAAATTCCGAAGAGAATTTCAAAAGAGAAAACGATCAAATGTTTTTGTACCATCATTGGTAAACAATAGCAGTGAGATTGCCTTTTGAATTGATTCTTTTTTTTTCCCAAACGTATGTCAATTCTATACTAAAACCATAATTATTGAGGTGTTTCAAACCTATAAAGCGTTGTATGGTTTATTTGACGATTTTCTTTTTATTCTAGTACAAAATTTTGAATATTACTGGAGTTTTTTCTCAACACCAAGTCGTTATATTTAACACCTCGACACGTGTTTCGATCACCAAGTGATCATCTTCAGAGAGGAGGATTAAAACTAGGAACTAGTGCGAGCTAATCCTATTTATGCTATAAAGGTAACCCATACAGGTAAACCATCCAGGCGTACCAACCATACAGGTATTTGGATGGTTTACCTGTATGGGTTACCTTTATAGCATAAATAGGATTAGCTCGCACTAGTTCCTAGTTTTAATCTTCCTCTCTGAAGATGATCACTTGGTGATCGAAACACGTGTCGAGGTGTTAAAAATAACGATTTGGTGTTGGGAAAAAACTCCAGTAAAATTCATTACTACACCAAAGGTTCCAAACAGTGCATCATAAGTACAAAATTTTGAGTTATGGTTTTTGAGATAATAACCGTAATATAATATTCACTGCTAATGAAATAAGTTTGAAAAAGCTCAATCTTAATCACAATATCAAAAATAGAGTTTTGAAGGTCCAATTAGTCCTGCCAGGGTTAATTGAAAGAAGGGATATCCTTTAATTACGTGCTAGTTTCTATAAAGATTTGAATTAAAAAAACTAGGTTCAGGTTTTGGTTCCATTCTGAATTAACTCAATCAGTTCTTCTAGTAGTAGAAGAATCTGAACTATAAATGTATATAAATCTGGCATCACACGTTAAAAGGTAAGACCTTGTTAGTCCTTAGCTCGCACAAGTTTCTCAACTTCTGAGAGTTGTCGTTCGTATGGGGGCGACAGCTGATTAACGGAAAATATATTTTAAACAGTTTTTTTTAGCAGTACTCAATATTCAAAATAGCAAGTTGATGAAAGCGGTCGTTCAACTTTGACATTGAGGAGTAGTTGAGGTAGTACTTCATCTAATTATGAGTTTGTTAATAATAAATATATTTTTAGCTTGGACTACTTGAACAGTCTAATAGTAATGAAGAACTAGGGTTACTATCGTTAGGTCTTTCGTACGTTTCATACGTAGTGTTTTCTGGTACTTGGTCATTGTGGTAAATACACAATGTCAGGGTTTTTATGTGTGGTGAGTAGGTGTGCCCCAGTGTAGATGAACTATTTGATTGCTAGTAGCTACCAAAAGCTTAGTTTTTTCTCGATGTAAGGATTTTTGAGAAAACTAATACAAAATCAGTAAGTAAATTTGTTTTTCTATTGGTTTTGTTGCTGTTCCTCTTGTATAACTGGTCGCACTTTGAGAACTTGGTGGATTTTGATTGAAGGCTTCAGCAACTTATCAGAAATATCAATTAGCTTCTGCAAATATTCAGAAACATTTCAACTGAAGGTATAATGTTTATTGGTACCAGGAAAATTTAAAAGTTTGAAAATACTCACATCCTGGTATGAATCGCCGGACTTCAAAGCAGATTTCTTAACAATTTGACGAAAAGCTTTGGATTTATCGGTACGATGCATAACTCTTGACTGCCCATAATATACTCTCGGTGGGGCTTTTGTGGAGGGCTTGTATTGCGTGTATCTGCGAGATGAGGGTGTATAATAGCTCTGCGGATGTATTGGCCATTGAGATCTACAATGAAAACAGCACAGTCGTCAAAGTCCCATGCAAAGATGAATAACAAAAACACGTGAAATTTCCAAGCATCAAATTGTACTCACCCTATTGAAGATGGTTTTGCAGGAAAGGCAGTCACTGATTTACCCCTCACAGTGTACTGTGTGGTATTGTTTTTGGCCTTTCTTTCAGCGTAAGGTTCAGAATTAATGACAACTCCATCCTGAGTAGCCGCAACTATATCTCTTTTAATCCTAACTGATTCTTTTCCTTCTTTAGTCAGATTCATTGGAGACTCGTATCGACTGTTTTCGGTTTGATTATTTTCATTTCTGTTGGTTTGGTCATCATTCTCGAAATATATATAATTTTCTTCAGGTTCCAATATAATATCATCTTCCAGGTCTTCCATGTCATCCACAGGAATCTATAAAAAATTGTTAATTTTGTCCTGCTGTCACCTTTTTCCTGTCATTATCCAATGAATGGTATTAGGTAATAAACTTGCAAAAGTAGTGAATTTTGTTAATACCACATTTAATTAGAAGTATTTTTTTCAAGGACAATCCTTAAGGCGCTCTCCAAGCGGTGCCTGTGCGAAAGTGCGATTCACATTGGATTTGAATTCAAGTTAAGTTCATTGAAGCAATAGAGAAAAATCACGTCTGTACAATTTTCACATGAAAGAGTAAAGCAATAGGGACAAAGTGTCAAGTGAAAGTCAGGGGGTAGAGGAACCTGATGTGGGAAATGAAGATACAGAAACAGGTAATGAACCAATAAATCCATCATCACAGGGAACTGGGCCAGTGAGACCTCTTTCGAAGAAAAAGTAGAAAACCCATACTGATGCTTCTGATGAGATAATAATGGATTACATACAGACAAAAAGCAATGCCTCAAGTGAAATAATTTCTCATTGAGTTTGCTTTCAGAGGTTAAAAAAATGACTACACGCCAATTCCAGATTTTTGGAGGGATATTGTTGCCTGATTGATCGGTTTGGTGCACCACCATGCTCAACAGCTAGCGACTACCAATTCAGCTACGAACAGCACCCATCAGTAAATCCAACCTCTACACAATCATGTTCAAGTGAGTCTACAGCATCAACATCTGCTACCAATCACTACCCAATTGCCACAACGGGATCAACTCTTTACTGAACTTGAACCCTTTCTTTCAAAGAAACACTTATAATGATTTTTCCTTTCATACTGATTTTACATAACTTTAAATGATCATATTTTTCCCCATGGGGGGGTGGAAATTCCTGATTCCTTTTCTTGATGTTTATTTATGCCATACAAAGGACCTACCTGTATATTTCAAAATTCTATGTTCAGTAGCGTCGGCTGTAGTTAATAATTTAAGAGTGTCAGTCAATTAACAGGCACCTACGTATACACTACTAGCTGTTTTCCGCTGTTTTACCCGCGTTACCGTCGGTACCTACCCTATGTGTTATTCCAGGTCATTTGAATCCGTTGAGCTGTTTAGGCGTGAAAAAGTAAAAAACGTAAATACATATATTACATCCATCCATACCCACAAACTTTACGCATTTATATTAGTAGGAGTAGGATTAGTAGGATTACCAGTGTATTTCATTCTAATCCTTAAAGTTATTTTTGCTGATGCTATTCAGTATTGTATAAGTGGGTACCTATTGACTGACACTCTCATATTAACGTACCTAGAATCTTCAAATATGCAGGTAGGTTTTTTATATAGCGTAAATAAACATCAAGAAAGGAAATCAGATATTTCCACCCCTAAGGGGGAAAAATTGAGGTTTAAAGATTGTATTGAATTTCTTCAGTTTTGAAGTTGGAAACCTGAAGGTTTGGGTTAATAAAAAAATATCTTAACTATTTGTTTAAAATGGCCTGTTTCAAAACTCAATGTGACAAACCAACAACTAGTCTTATAATAAAGTTTAACTTGAATATGTTATGGATTTTCATCAAGTATTGGCCATTTCCATCACATATGGATTCAATCGTATTTTGAGATAGATTCTAATATTTTACATTTGATGTGACTTTCACAGTTTGTCATCAGCTTATCGATGATGATGGGTGAACTTGAGTCGATAACGAGAACATGATAAGAAACAGATTTCGACAAAATGATAACCGCATAACTTGAATGCCTTATCTCCTGATATCGGACTTATATAAATAAATGCAACTAATCCCATAATATACAAAATAATTTAGCTGACTCGCAAAACATTGCTCAACAATGATCTAATTGTTTCTTTTATAGTTATTTGCCAGTGTTTATCGGGAAGTGAGGACTAGACATTATGTATCATACGACGGAAATGTGTAATCAAATAATCATCATATGTATCAAATCGTATTCATTAAACTTTCATAGAGCTCTTTGTTTGAACGAGCAGATTCACGCAGAAAATGGAATGCACAAATATCTTGATTATTCTGCGAAATGTTGCAGATTTACGACAAAATGAGTTATGACATATACATATTATGTAGAATGATGATAGTTAAAGAAGTTTAACCGTCAATTCACAGTATCCGAATACATTGCCGTTTTCATCTCTCAGAAAGGGAAACTACTGGGTGAAATTTGTTACAAAAATGAAATTATGAAGAAACAATAAAATAATTTTCAAAATTTCAATTATTTTTCTTTCTCTCCTGGTAGGTGTAGAATTGAATTCATTTGAAAAATTGTTTGTGAATTTATACAAATATAGAATTATTAACGGTGCATATATGCGAACGCGTGAAAGTTTAATTCATTTGAAAAATTGTTACATCTTTTGCGGGCGTGGTCAACTTCTAGACTAAAATTTATACTGAGAAGCATTAGAGCTGCTTCAGAAATGAGAAAAGTAATAATTAACATCAAAAACTGACAATGTATAGACTTATAATTATATTAAAAAAAAAACGAAACCCAGAAAGATGAAGCAAATTTGAAATGAAAATTGAAAGACATTCTTCACTATGGTTGATTATTACTGTTGCATACAAATGTGTTGCATGATTATGGTTTGGATTTTTATTGGTTGAAAGGATTAATAAAGAATGAATAAAATAAGACCGAAATATTTGAATAATTTTGCAAACAGTTAATGATGATTTGAAATAATTCCTTATTTTGTTCATACCTCAAATATTAACACTATTTTAAATTACCGTTGATAACTTATTTTATTATCCAGTTTGATCTCTGTAATGATAATAAAAACGGTAGTATGAATAAGGATATGAAGATAAACGAATTATGAACTATGTAAATAATATTGCCAAACAAGAAAATCTGCTAGTAATAGGAATAAAGAGATGAAAATCACGAGGAAGTGAAAGAATGAAAAACCAAATAATGGATAGTCAGCAACTGATGCTTCAAAAAGAAAAAAACTGGTATAGATGCCAATGTAGATGAATTACACCATGAGGAGGGGTGAGAAATAAAAAACCAGAGAATGTATCGAGAACGAATAATACAACAAGATAAATGGCCTGGATAGACATTCTCCAAAAATGATATTGCGAAAAACAAACATTGAAATGAATAATCAATGAATACACCGAGATAGCGAGAGAAATGAAATATTGGAAAAGGCATAAGTTTATGAAGTTACAAAAATATCATGTCAAACACAGAAATAGGAAAAAAAAAGATGAAAAACCCATGAGAAATGTGAAGAAATCAAATTTGAGAGGCAGGAGTAGTTGTTACTTAAAATTTACCAATATTGTATACAAATATAGGTAATGTTAAAGCCACTTCTGTAGATAAAATATACACCTTCAAGTAACATATTTGATGGAATCGGCCACACTTGATGAAAATCCATAAAGTATTCAAAAAACTATGTAGTGAAAATCTCACAATGAAGTGTTTTTCGAATGATTCGGGTAATACTTTATTGTGAGATTCTCTCTGGACAGTTTACAAAACCCCAACACGTGTTTCTCTATACGGTAACTTCCTCAAGTGTTTTCATACTGAAATATTTCTACCTAATTAGTGCTTTATATAATATAACAATTTGAATCATGAAGAACAGTTAAACATCAGTTGCTAATGAACTGAGAAGTTAGTTAGGTTAGTTTTTCGAATTACCTTACATCAATAATCAGTATGCATAATTATTCATTACTGAGTTAATATGAATAATCGACCCGTTGCTTGATGAAAATTACTCTTTTCAAATTGTATTTTTACAACCGTAAGCAGTATGTCCAACTGAATGGCCTCAAGTCTGTTGAATATGTAGCCACATCTGGTGTACCACAAGGCTCAAACCTAGGACCCCTATTGTTCAATATGTTTGTGAATGATATCGGAGCTGAGATTGATGTCATTCCCTTTTATACGCAAATTACTTGAAACTCTATTACAATATAGCATGTTCTAATGATTGCTAACGTCTCGCCCTGAATTTTAATCGTGTTGCTACATGGTGTCAGAAGAATAATCTATCTCTCAACATATCCAAATGCAAGGTTATGTCTTACTCACTGAAAAAGAATCTGACATTACACAACTACGTCATAAACAATCAAGTTCTGGATTGTCCTGACACACTCACTGATCTAGCTGTTACATGAAAAATATCATTACTCTGCTCTCAATTGTTAGATATGTTGAATTTTAGGGTCCCAGATTGCCATCTAGGAATAGTGTCACCTTTTATCTCAACACTCTGCGAACAGATATAATGAAAAAATTCCCAATTTATACAATGTGTGATACCTCTACTTCTGGTAGTCGTGTTCTAGATATATTCAACTGCCAGATTATACAAATCAAAAGACATTTCTTAGCTAACTGACAGTTCTGTTTTTACTTTTTTTTAATTAGATTCACAAATTCTATTATGCAAGTATACATTTGTAAATGCCACTCTTTTTCCCTATTCTGTAATTGAGGTCATCCTGTAGAGAAGTGTATGGAATAAATAAAATTAAATGATAATCACACAATTTTCTAGTATTACTGATCAAAACTAGAGTGCAATTTTAAGACAGATTTGTGATGATAAGTAGGTAGGTCGAAAACAAAAATACAACAATGAATTTCATTTATGAATATATTTTCTTATATTCATTTTATCCTTCGATTGTTGATCATAATCAATGTGGAATGACCTGTTTGGAATCGTAAAAACTACTTACAATAAACTCTAACTTTATATCGTCATTCATTCATTTTATTAAAATGCCCGTTGGGATGTTCTCCATCAAACTGGAATAAGCAAAAAATGAAATAACAATCAAACGTTTGTCAAATATTTTTAAAAAAATGTACGATTTCAAAGATTTGTTATAGCGTATATCTCAACATTGTAATACATGCTCATACGGAAGAAAAGGTCGATAACCTCTAAATTATTCTAGTGACCATGACGGTATCTAGATGAATAAATTTAGTATTCATTGCAAGAAATGCTCGTCTAATAATATGAAATATCATAAACATAATTTATCTGTCAGGAATTAAAGGCCAAATAAATCATTGAAAGAAAAAAATAAATGAATTGAATTTATAAAGGTCAAAGGTTTAATAACAAATAATTAATTTCCATCGCACGTCTCGTTGAAGTTAATTAATTTAATTGTCAAATCAGCAGAAAGTGGTGAAAATATTATGATTATTTCCAAATATTTTCTACATTAAGTTTTATATTAGCGAGTACTCACATCTTCATATTCTGCCCCAATTATAGTGTTGATGAACTCATTATCCAACAAGTTGAGGTTAGCCAAAGTGCCCTTTATATTTTCAACTTCGTTTTCCAATTGTTTCACTCTGGCCATTGTTAGCATTAGAACAACAAACATCGAAAGTACCAGAGTGCAGAGAAAACAAATTCCGAATATCAAATAAAGTTTCAAATAACTCTTCTTTGCAAGCGTCTTTTCAAAAAGATATTCATCGCTCAAGAGCGATTTCGGCTTTCCACTTGTCATTTTCAAAAATCACTTCTGTAACATTTATCTCGACTGAGCTCTTTTCGTACTGATACACTTCTAAACACTGACCAGCTTATCTCGTAGTAAGTTGTTTAATATCTCAGGCAAGCACGCCCCAATATTAGCAGAATCTCGAACGCATAACTATGCATCTCTATTTCGTAATTACCCGGTAATATTCGGAAGAATAATTCGAAAAAACATTATTCGTTTATTTGTAGAACTTGAAAAAGGCTGGTTCATAATCTTCCACTCAACCTGATGTCTTCTCATCCCATAAATAAATCTCAAATAAGAATTTTGTACATTTTGAATTTTTATTTTGTACTGGCTTGCCAAATCCGGCCCAAAGAGAGTATCCCCATAATTGAAAAGGAATAAAATCAACGTTTTACACAGATTTTTTTCAACATCAGAAGTTGAAACTTGCCTATCTCCGTAAATAATTTTCAAGGTAGAGTAGCCTCTTTGTAATAATTCGCTTATATGCTTTTCAATCTGATATTTGAGTCAAATATGCTACCTAGACTCTTAACTCTAGTAACCATCTGAAGTTCACAATCCTCCACAATTCATCAAATAAGAATTTTGTACATTTTGAATTTTTCTTTCGTACTGGCTTGCCAAATCCGGCTCATAGAGAGTATATCCCCATAATTAAAAAGGAATAAAATCAACGTTTTACACAGATTTTTTCAACATCAGAAGTTGAAACTTGCCTATCTCCGTAAATAATTTTCAAGGTAGAGTAGACTCTTTGTAATAAGTCGCTTATATGCTTTTCAATCTGATATTTGAGTCAAATATGCTACCTAGACTCTTAACTCTAGTAACCATCTGAAGTTAACAATCCTCCACAATTTTGATATCCAAGCAAATATCACGATGACTCTTAGTTTCGAAAGTTTGGCCCGTTTTTATGAGTCTACTTTAAACTGTAATATCTCAGTGAATAGTTATTCAATTCCATCGAAATAAGCGACATTTCAATTTCAATCGATTAATTCCAGCTGTTTTTTCCTGATCCTGATTGACAAAGGTTTCACCGGTGGAAAGTTATTGAAGATTGAAACGATATGGTAGGCGGTTGGCCAGAGGTCTGGGGAGTATGGTGGATGAGGCAGAACTTCGGGGCTTGATTCGTTTAATTTTCGATTTTCTCCACGAAGAGGATTCACTTTTTATCATACGTGATGATTTTATCCAAAAAAGAATCGTTCTGGTTGCGCAAAAGAAGAACAGACCCCGAAACGTGACAATTTCTGTCGATCGGTCAACTTGTGGGGCACCTAATACGTTTTAAACCATCAAAAGCTGCGTGGGAGCTGACGTCCAGCTCTTCCGCCATCCCACGCACCGTTTGTGATGGGTCAGTCACCACCAGGGTTCTCAAATCCTCGTCCTAGAGTACTGTAGGTCGACCACTTCATGGTTCATCTTCGAGGATGAAATCTCTGGAACGAACTTTCACGAACCAACATCGAACAGTGCGTTCATTAACACGCTTTGGTTAAATTTGAATTCGTAGAGAAAAATTTGCCAAACATCGCTTAACGACATCATATAGTAATAATTCCACCACATTTATCTTCTTAGAAAAAACTGATGCTTAAGTTTTCTCAGCGTTGAACTCAACTTTGATTCCGTTACCAAAAACTGAATTTTTTTCAGATCTTCAATGTTGTTGTTTTCGTTAAATATGTACATTGGAAGCAGATTGGATCCAAATGGACATCCGTTCCAGTACATCGGCTGCGGATACATCTTCACCGGCAGCAGGAGGTTGAATATCTTAATGAGGATCTGGAAGTAATTTCGAATTGGGGTGAAAATAACCAGGTTCAATGCAATGCCACAAATATGCAGGCATTGGTTTTCTTCAAAAAGATAAATGTATCCGAAACAGATATAATAATGTCAGGTCAGACAATTTCACTTTCCGCTTCGATAAGTTTGTTGAGGGTTACAATGGGTACTAATATGTCTTGGCACAATCATGTCTTTGGAATCACAAAAGTCGCTTCTCAAAAGGTTGGAACATTGTTCCGAACCAAAAAACTGTACACATCTCAGTACCTTTTAATGCATCACTTGCAACCTTGATAGCCTGGAACATCGAAGAAAGGTTGAAGATTTGTCTCTCTTCTATAGATACTTTCAAGGGAAGTGTTCAAGTGACTTGGCACATTTGATTCCACCAAGAGTGGCACATATCAGAAATACGCGACGGACTGTGGTTGCTCACCGTTTCGAGGTTCAACTCAGTACACCTCGAACTTCACTGTTCAAAAACTTTTTCATTTGGAGAACTCCGTTTATGTGGAATAAACTTCCTGAGAACGTTTTTCCAAATGGATTTAATCTCCAGCGATTCAAATCAATTGTGAATCACTAATTTCGCACAGGTACCGCTTTTAAAGAGCCTTAAGGATATCCTGAAGTGTTTGTGTTTGGTCCTTTAAAAAATCAGCAAGAAACTGCTGCGTTATGAAAAAAAGCATCTGCAAAACTAACATATGTAAGTTAACTTGCATAAATGTCTTTCAGATATATTTCAATGTCCATCGTGGTATCAGCCAGTAGAGTAGTGGTTTTTTGGCATTTATCAGATTCTACTGGGTAGGAACGTTGACTAAGATGGATGTTTCGAATATCATTTCGAAATGTTGAATTTACAGTTCACAATGCGGATGTGCCAATTTAAAAACCGGAGAGTAAATTAAATCGATTTGATCATTTAACAGGTTGCACCCGCAATGTTTGTTTGTGAATTTCCAAGGATTCTAAATAATTGAGTTTGCAACCCCTCCTTGCATAGCTGTTGAATGATGGCGAATAATGGCGAATGTGATGAATCATTGTTAGTTTATTGTCCGTATAGGACGAAACTGCAGTAACGTTAGTTACAAATAAAAGTGGTAAAAAACATAGAAATTTTAATTTCTCTTCTCATTATGATTTCCTACCACGTAGTAACGGCTACATTCACCAATTTATTCATTTCAAAATATTTATTTTCTGAATTTAACTTATTTGTTAATGACTTTTTGCACAGAACGTCAAATTCTTTTCACAAAATTATTAACTCCGAAGAATTATTTTCAACTTGAGATTTACAACTTCATCTCCACGAATATGAAAAACCCTACTATGTGTCTAAATATTGGATATTAATGGCACAAAAAATAATAATAGTCAGTACTACTTCCTGAGCCCTGAAACATTGTGTAATTACATAAGTATGTTTAAAGTATTGTCCTCATTATTTAGTTTTGATCTTGATCCAATACCCTTGACAAGCTGGTGATTCTTACAAAATATGAACTAAAAACGGAATGTAGGAAGCACGAGAAAGTCAAGTTGCTGAATTATGAATACCATCTGGATTGCAAATATGTTGTGTATGCTTGGCATTCAAACAATTGACTTTGAATGTCAATGATATTTATATACTTCTGAAGAGCTTAAAATATACAACGTAACTTTCAATATATCGGAAGGGAAAAGAAATATTCTTTTTTTTTTAAATATTGAACCGTTATCTAAGCTTCAAATTATGAAAAGTTATTCATATAATTTACGAAAAGACCAAAACTACCCTTTGGATACGATGAAGTAAAAAATGCTGACGGGTCGTTAAGTTTGTTTAGGATCACTGATGAGAATAATCTAGAAATATCTAAATAAACATGCATATTTTTGAATATTTTGAATGCTTTGTGCGATCGTGAATAGGGCACACCATTCCGTTGGCTATGCTTATAAATTTTTCAGTTTTGAAATGGGATGGACATATGTCTTTGGATCTAGAAAGTTGTACAAACCTCTGCAACTTTTGATAATTGATTGACAGACTGTCAAAGTTACTAGTGTTTTTGAGTCTCTAATTAGGTAAATGACTTCTAACTGGATAGAGAGAAATTTCTTTATTGTCTACCCTATATAAAAAATATATATTTGTAGCCAGTCCACATCCAGATATATTCGATATTACAAGATGAAAACAACAGAAAGTTCACAATTTAAAGAGATAAAAAATACGAGCAAACAAAAATTCATGGAATCACCATCAGGGGCCAACTGCGATTTCGTGTCATCGTTGGAAGACCTTGTGATTACAAGGACTAACTCCCAACTTCGTCACGGGTGCAGCCATTTTCATTCAGGTCATTAAAATGAATGGTAATTATATTATACATATTAATATTCTGATATCAAAGAAAATAGCGCTTCCTATCTTTAAATTCGAATAAAACAGAGTGTGTGGGAGATCTCATAGAAATTTTTTATTCGTTTGTAAGACATATTGAAATCATTAGAATATAACATCGTTCAAATGTCCGCCACAACTTCTTCTATTGTGCTCGCCGTTGACAGTGATGGCCTGGCCAACGTCGTTCTCAAAGGAATATGGACCGATGACGCCGCCAGTCCAAAATCCACACTAAACAGTGGCTTGGATGCATTGGATGTTCTTGGATCTCTTGGATTCTCCTGCACACTCTCACAGACAGTGGCCATGTTTTCGAAAATTTTGCGTTTCATCGACGTATGGGTGTTGGTTAATCGTTTACTGAACCAGTGGACTCAAACTTATGCACCACATGGGCGAACCGCGCGGTATGTTGCTACAACAGAGCATTTTGATAAAACAATTTTATTATTTGCACGTATTGTTGAATGCTATATTCGTCCATGGTGATTTGGCAAAACAGGCAGAATGAATGACAACTAATTTGACAGATGTAGCTTCAACAAGATTTCATAACATTATGACTTCATTTCACTTGAAGTGATCAATCTGCTTTTGTCATGATGACAGTACGCATACAGTACGTATAATAGTTTTTTTTTGGAAAAAAGATTGTTGGCTTTATACTTTTCCGTCATTGAACAAAAAATGTGGGAACTTTTAATTTTAGTTTAATGATGGGAAGCAGAAAGCCAAAAAGTGTTTTCCCAAAAAAAGTTATCTCTCCTAAAACTATTTCCTTTCCAACTATTTCTTTTTTATTGGTTTAGTTCTTGAGAATGCTCTAAACAGAATATGATTTTAATTTCAACATCTAAATGAAGACAATTTAAACAAGATTCCTTTGGCTGGGATTTAATCAAATAAGCGAATGAATGTCATTACGATGTCAAAGATGGCATGAATATCAAATTTATTCCGTGACATAAAAATCGTAATTTATGAATGAATTGTGTATTTTTTCTTATATTATCCAGATTGGTACTGAAGAGCCCTAAGGCAAGTATTTTACGGCGAAACATCGATGTCTACCAGTGAGGATGACAGTGTTTCATGTAAGATGCTGTTTCAGGAGTGCTTTTTCTTCCAGTTTGTGTCTGAAAGATACTTCTTTGCATGATCTACACATCTATGTAAAGAGTTACTTCTTTTGAAATTGATTACTACTTCCTTCCTTTCTTTGGAAGATTTTCACATTTTTTTGTATCGAGATGGAGTAGTAGAAAGCCAAAAACTTTCTTTCCCAATAAATGAAGACATTATTGAAGCATAATGATTTATATCATCAATAAATGAAAAATAAAAATGCTATTTTACCCGTAGAAGTTTTCCGATATAACTTTGTTTTGCTAGAGCTTTGTGATTTGCTAAGAAAGTTAATTTGATTCGGGAAAAATACTGTTTTCCAGATTTTCTTGGACTGCTGTCAAATGGGTTAGAAATGACACACTTCGTGGAATCAAAAACCAAATTTAGATAAATACGAGCAAGCAGAAAATATGCGGCGATGTGTAATAATCTATTTATACAATACTATGTTGGTAAAATGATAAATATTATTTTTCAGTGCCGTCTGTTAAAGCGTTCACGCATTCTGTAAACACGAACAAGAATGATCATTACATAATTACACGTCATGTAGAAGATATTTTATTTCCAGAGTCATTTTAATTACTTTGTCTTGGCGCTAAATCGACTATGTATATCCGTTTCTGTTGACTCAAAACTTAAGATGATGAATTACCTTAAAAATGTAAAATATTCCTGTTGATAATAGTTCGACTTTTTGCCAAAATATATTTTCAAAGTTGATAATTCAAAAATATGGAGGAAACTGTTTTCTTTTTCATTCCAGACATGTCTTGCCAGTGCCTATGTACCACAACGACTACAACATATGGTCTGTTTTGAAAAACTGCATTGGAAAGGAATTGAGCAAAATAACTATGCCGGTCGTCTTCAATGAACCACTGAGTTTTCTCCAACGCATGGCCGAGTACATGGAATACTCCCATTTGCTGAGATTGGCATCCGAACAAGAAGATCCAATTGCCAGAATGCAGCTCGTCATTGGTAAATACATTAAATTACTTTCTATCCAAGAAATTGAAAAGCATAAGCAGGATTTTTTTCAAATAGGTTATTTGTTTTTAATTAACTCAAAAGAAACAACTTTTTGGTTTTTGAAATTTATTGGTTCTCTACTTCTCCATCTTTATATAAAAAATGTGGGAAAGTACTTCTTTTGTGTAATTCAATGTTCATACGAAAGTAGTACGTATTTCGGAGGGCTTTTTCCAGTTTGTGTCTGAAACTTACTTTTTTGCATAGTCCTATACATCTTTGTAGAGAGTTTCATTTTTGAAATTGATTGCTTTCTTCCTTTCTTTGGAAGATTCCCAGATTTTTTCATTTTTGTGATTTTTACAAAAAACCTTGTTTCTGTTGTGAAAAAACCCAAAGATCTCTTTAATGATTTGTTTAGGAGTAATCAGCATTTGGAATAACGCAATCAAGAAATATGAAGAGTCAGGAGCTGTTGCGTTTGATATTCCTAAGGCCTTTCACCGTGTGGGACACGAGGGTTTGCTGGCCAAACTTCAATGCTATGGCTTGTCGGATAATTTTTGTGTATGAGTATCAAGTTTCCTGAAAGAACGTTCCCTGCAAGTGAGCGTTGATGGATATCTCTGAAATACTGGTCTCGTCATTACATTTGGATCCCAGGAGATCGGCTGCGGAGGCATATCTCCACCGGCAGCAGGGGGTTGCACATCTTAATGATGATCTAGTGGTAATTTCGAATTGGGGTGAAAGTAACCAGGTCCAATTCAACGCCACAAAAACCCAGGAATCGGTTTTCTCCAAAAAGATAAATGTTTCTGAATCGGATATAATAATGTCAGATCAGACAATTCCGCTTTCTGCTTCGATAAGTTTGTTGGGGTTAAAATGGACACTAATAGGTCTTGGCATAATCATTTCGCTGGAATTGCAGAGGCTGTTTCCCGAAAGCTTGGAACAATGTCCCGAACCAGAAAACAGTACAAACCCCACCAACTTTCGATGCTTTATGAAGCTCAGATCAGACCTTCATTTAGAGAAGGAATCTTTCCAGTTTTTTTGAAGAAGTCGATTGTGTTGGCACTGCCAAAGGGAGAAGTCATCAATGGTCCATCAAGTCTTCGCCCAACTTCTCTAATCTCTGCAATTACTAAATTGATAGAACAATTAGTTGAAACAAGACTCCTTTGCTTTCTGAATGAAAACAAAATAATAAGTGATTGCCAGTTTGGTTTTCAAAAGCAAAAAACACTTCCTATGCCATATTTTCATTTCTTTGTAATGTTCATTCCAACATAAATGACAAAGAAACAGTGGCTGCGGTCTTCTGTGATATATCCAAAGCATTTGATTGCGTGAATCATAAAATTCTTTTACGGAAACTCAATAAATACGGTATAACTGGAATAAGTTTCAAGTGGTTTGAGTCATACTTAGCAGATCGCACTCAGATGGTCAAAACCACTTCATACTTTAATGAAGGTAAAATTACTTGCGGCGTCCCACACGGTTCGGTACTGGGCCCACTTTTATTCTTAATTTACATTAATGACCTATCGTTTATTAACATCCATATTAACATCATATTTGCTGATGATACCACAATTTTATGGCATGCTCCTTACAACCATACGTTGTATGAAGTTATTGAGAATGACATCACGAAAGTGAAAGACTGGTTTGACTCAAATCTCTTAAGCTTGAATTTATCAAAAACAAACGTAGTATCCTATCGTTGCCAGATTCCAGCCGTACATCTAAATAATATCCAAATTGACAACGTACCAACTTCTAAATTCCTTGGCTTGTTCATTGACAATAATATAAAATTCAGTAAACATGTAGATACTTTGAAATCCAAGCTCTCCTTTGGATGTTTTGCAATACGAGTAACTGCATTTGAGCTCGGATTTGCAGAAGCTAGAATGGTTTATTATTCCCTTCTTGAATCCCATCTTTGTTATAGTATTTGCTTTTGGGGTGTGTGTTCTACCACATGCCTTCAATCAGTATTACTAATACAAAAACGTGCAATACGATGCATATGCAAAGCCAAGCCTAGGGACTCTTGTCGGCCTCTTTTTGCCCCTAACTGTGGTATCCTTATTTATATATGAGACAATCTGCCTTCTCATCAAAAATAGGGTCTTGTTTAACAACTTGGACGAGCCAGTGTATCAAACCAGGCAAAGATTCAGCTTCAAATTACCGCTGCCTTCTTCGATCCTAGTTAAGATTCCATTATTTACAACAGTCTCAAAATGTTCAATCACCTTCCTCAAGCTATAAGAACCACAAATGACCTTAGAGCTCTTAAGAAAGAGTTGAAAGACTTGCTTTCTGTGAGACCTTATTATAGCTTAGGAGAATTCTACTATGCTCATTTTAATTGAGTAGACTAACTGTAATATCTACGGTATTTCATTGATTTAATTCAATTTGTTCAAATTGATTCATTTAATTTTATTGACCATGTTCTTATATCCTGAATATTTGTATTAGGTTATTGTTATGTAAATGTCTCTTTTCAGTTCATGTTATCACTTACTCTTAGTGATTTTACTTTTGTGATTTCATTTATGTTATTTATGTTTCGCACAAGGCTTTGTCAATAAGAATTTAATCTTCAGACAATAAAGTATATTTGAATAGAACATTGATTTGAATTGAGTATTCTTCACATGTATGCAGCTCCGCCCCTAGGCACACCCTGAAGCTGCTATATTTCATTCAGAAAAGAGCCAACCACGTGATTGGAGACACCAACATCACTTGCAACCTTGCTAGTCTGGAACATCGAAGAATGGTTGGAGATCTGTTTCACTTTTATAGATACTTTCACGTGAGGTGTTTAAGTGATTTGGCACATTTGATTCGACCAAGAGCGGAACATATCAGAAATACGCGACGGACTGTGGCTGCTCATAGTTTTGAGGTTTACCTCAGAACTTTTTCATTTGGAGCACTGTATTCATGTGGAATAAACTTCCTGAGAATGTTTTTTCAAATGAATTTGATCTCCAGCGATTCGAATGCAACGTGAATTGCTACTTTCGCAGAGGCACCGCTCTTAAAGCGATCTAAGGAATTTTCTCTAGTGGTTGTGTTTTTGTCTATAAATCAAATGAAATGAAAAGATACTGTTGATAAAATTAGTAGTTTTAGTAGATGTTTTCGTGTAAAGTGAAGATTTATTTATTATCTGGTTATTCTTTGATAACAATTCCATTTTTAGGATTTTCCGTCAGTGCACTGGCTTCGAACTGGGAACGTCTTGGAAAGCCCTTCAATCCCCTGCTAGGAGAAACTTACGAATTGGAAAGGAAAGAATTCAAAATAATTTGTGAACAAGTCAGTCACCACCCTCCCGTATCTGCTTTTCATGCAGAAAGTGAAAACTGGATATTTCACGGATCTATACACCCAAAATTGAAATTCTGGGGAAAGAGTGTGGAAATACAGCCAAAAGGAGTCGTGACTGTCGAGTTTCCCAAGTAAAATGTCGAAAAGGGGTGGTTTTCATGAACATAAAATAAACATTTTTGTGAACAAAATAAAAAAGAAAACAACTTTACCTAGTGTAAAGATTTCATTCTAGGTCTGGTAATATACAGACCTAGAATGTCCCTGGGTCATGTCGACCATTCAAATTTATTATGGCAGATTCCTATAGGTGTGGTTCTAATAGCAAAAAAACTCATTAATACAGTTTAAAGTGAAAATTATAAATAAAGTGTAGATATTAATGAGTTTTAATATGATTTTCTGTCAAGTAACGGCAAGTTCAATTCAATTATTTTCTTAGCGTAACAGTTGAGGTGGACGTTGGAAAGAGCTCTTTGAGGTAGCAAATCTACAAGTCCTTTGGATTATGAGATAGAGACCTTATCCTTCAGATAAGGCTTCAAACAGATACCACTTCCTGTTTTATCAAAAGCGATTGCCTCCATGAGGCAAATCCTCATGTTATGAGGATTTGCCTCACTCAATTGCTTCCTGCTCACTCTCGCTGGTTGTACTGCTTGTGTTATGCCAGCTGTAGCATCGGCTAAACTACCTAGGCTGAGAAACAGGCGAAAATTAGAATGAGTGGTAGAATTCCACCAATTTTTGGAATTCGTATAATTCGCGGTGTGCGAATTTTCTTTTTCCCACCGGTTTCCAACCGGTTGCTGAGTTATTGATGTTTGAATTTGGGACTCGAAATTTCGTAACTCCGGCACCCTGATTAATGATTTGCTGAGACTCACGCAGTCAATGCACAGAGATTTATGTTCATGAAAATCACGCCTCAGAGTGAATCTGGTGGTTTTGAGAAAATAATCATAGATTTTTTTCAGACTTAAGGAGGCCTACACTTGGACTAACGTACAATGTTGCGTGCACAACATTATTGTAGGAAAGTTGTGGATGGAACAAGTTGGAAATATGGAAATAACCAGTCACTCTTCCGGACACAAGGCTCATTTAACTTTCAAGCAGGCTGGTGGAAACAGCAAAGATTTACATAGAGTTGAAGGCTTTATAACCGATAAGTCGTGAGTTATTAAATAACTCATCAATGATGAAAAGTGTGGTGAGAACATTAATCAGTAATCAGTTCCATTCCGCTTTGTCTCATATACAAGCAATCTCTGGAACCCAGATGCCATCAAAATTGATGCTTATGCATAAATCCCTGAAGACACTACGTCTGGAATTTTTGGGAGAATTAATGGTTTAAATCTTTTGATGGCATTCCTAAATCAAACGTCATATAGGAAAATAAAATAATTTCTACTTCTATGTGCTGAGGGAATTTATGAAAATATGATGTCAGAGAGTGGAGGTTATGAAAATAATATTAACAGTAACAGTTTTGAATGATCCTCATATTACGCACAATGATAATGTCAGCTTCTGAAGTTCCCGTTATTCTCAAACCCCAGTCTAATGTTCTTGTTGTAATTCATTTCATCTGAAAATTATGTTATTTTCATCACTCCTTTAAAATATATTCATGGTATATCAGTAAAACAGTTTTCACACATCTTTCAAAGTATGTGCCATTCTAGGATTTTTTTCATCGACTCTCATAAAAATAATGAGCATGAATGTCCTTCTTGTTTGAATATTATCGAACGAAACGACAGACGTATTCAGCTTCCTACAGATAAACATCCACTGACCCAGAACCCAGCCCCAGCCCTCCAAATTGTTACTTTGTCAGGTGCCTTATAAACATTTGCTCCAATTCGGTGGATTTGTTGGAGCATGCGTCCTTCCAAATTCCCAATCACGTTCTCCTTGAATCCGCTATGTGTTATCAATTTCATTTTCCCACTGGAAAGTGGGTTTGGGGTGGAAACAGAATCTGTTCGTCGGGAAGACATTGCCATACAGGCGTACAAATAATCGATCCATGACATACTGAGTATGATAATCACATGTTCAGAAGGTAACCTACCATTTGTTCTAGAGCATGTTAGATCCCTTGTACGAATCGATAGCTTATTTCCATTGTGTTTTAGCTGGGAAATGAGGTGAATGTTCAGCGGAGTTTTTCAACAAATGTTCGATTTTGTGACTAGTGTTTTCGGGGGGTTCGTTTCTAGCCGAGCAGGATGGATATAGAAGAGAAACACTACAGGTACGTTTTGTTTTTTGTCATTTTAATGCTGATTTTTTGGCTATTATATCAGTAATCGATAATTTCTATATAACGCATAGTTTCACTCCATGGGAATTATTCTAGAAAAATGATCAAAAAGACTCAAATATATAGATCACTTATTCTCAATATTTCTTCTTGTTTCCCAAAACTGTATTCATTTTTTTTTCATGATCCTATAAAGCTAACTATAATACAATACCTTATTAATTTACACAATAATACTTTAGTATATGTTAGGCTGTTTCAAAAGTTTTGTCCGTTTTCATAAGTCTAATTTAAACTATAATATCTCGGTGAATACTAATTCAATTCAACCGGGATGAGCGTAATTGTCACCATCAAAAATCGCTTGGGAGCTGACGCCCAGTTCTTCCGCCATCCCACGTACGCTTTGTGATTGGTCGAGGTTAAAATCTCCGGTACGAAATTTCGCAAACCAACGTCAAACAGTGCGTTCATTGCTCCAAATGCCTGGTTCATTTTTCGGGCTGTTTCGGCAGCGCTTTGGTTCAATTTCAATTCGTAGAGAAAAATTGGCCAAAAATCGCTTGACATCATGTAATAACAAGCTGAAAAGAGGCAAAAAATCAGAATTTGGAAAAAAATTAACAGCATCAATATATAGACTACAAAATTCTTTATTGATCGGTATACACCACGACACAATACAATAAATTTTCATCGAGATATGAAGCTACAGAAACACCTGACAAACACATGACGAACCTAATTTCCTAACCATAACGGGCATATTTATTGGCAATCATCATCACCCATGTCAGTGCTAACCTGATCTGCAATAGTTTCCTCACAATGAGTGGTGTGAATAAAAATTAAATTTATACTTAAAGTATTCAGAATGGAGCTCCCACTTGAAACTTGATAATTCAGTTTGATTGGTAGAATTGGAACCTCTTCTGGATCTAAATAAACCACTTTTCCCATACCTGAAAAATAAAACAGTCTCTCGACGCACATTTTGATGCCCAAGTTGACATCATCAGAAATCGTGATAATAATGATGATAAATAAAAAACGCGTTTCGATAAAGAGTGTTTTCTTCAGATTCATCAGTTCAAGATATACTAGCTGTTGCTCAAAAAAAAGTGAAAAATAATCTTTCACTTAATAAAAAGCCATTCTGGAGAGGCAAATGATATTATTTCTTGAAAGACCCACGAACTTCCTGAATCGCTGAAGAATGATAATGAAATTAATGATTATTGAATCGACTCGGGGAACAATAAAAACCCCTCAAGTGAACCGATTGAATTTTATTGAAATAATTATATAATATTTGGAAATGCACTTCCTTCCTCCAAAGTGTTAGGAATCACACGTTAAACGGTAAGACTTCGTTAGTCCTTCGTAGGGGGGCGACAGCTGGTTAACGGAAAAACAGATTTCGAACAGATTTTTTTAAACAGAACTAAATGATATGTCTGTGTTTGAAACATAGTAAGTACTATTAAAATGAATGCGAAAAGTTTTGATGAATGGAACCTAAGCCTGATTCAAATTTGCTGCCCTCACACTCTAGAATAATTAACACAAATTATCAATTTCTGCTTGACTAACTTTGTATTTCATCTTTCCTCGAATTTTTTTTCGGTACTTTGATGAGCTGTCGCGAGTGATAGGAAGCGTTGTCAAGAACTATTACACTATTCGCATCCAAATTTGGGATCAATGTGTTTTCAAACCATTCCTCAAAAATATTAGCTTCCATGTTCTTATGATAGTCAACATTGCAGTCCTCAAGTTTTTATCTACATAATTTCAAAGAATTCGGAACCCATCCTTTACTTTCTCCGCAATGCACAATGATTAGTCGCGATCCTTTGATTGGCAGGCATGTTAGGCGTACACATTCTCGAACCATCAGTCCACCCTTTCGTCGTGAGTGTCATACCAAGTTTCGTCCAAATAGAAAATTTGATGAACATCTAAAAATTTTGGTAATCCCGCATCACATCGCCTCTTGCGTTCATAAGATTTGTTTTCGACTATTTTACGTACAGTTGAGAAAGGAATTTCGGTCAATGTTGCTTGTAATAGTTTTTTCCCTTGAAAAATTCTTCAATCCACGTGGACTAATTCGTAGCGGCATTATTTCTTTGTATTGGGATTTTTGGCCCTTGAGTTCGCCGATAGCTTTAAGAATTACTATATCAGTTACGTCGACTATACCAGTCGGCTATGGTATCCCTGGTTGGAACAAGGCTGAAGGAGCGTGAAGGAAACTGCAGATTCGGCCAAATGGACATTGCTCCCAACCAGCGATACCATTTAATGCCCATTTAATGCGTTGGTACAATTTCTTTCATGATGTCTAAATTTTGAATTAGTTTATACCTAAATTCAGGTAAAATTATTAGTCATTAGAAGTAGGTCATATGTTTTCAATTATTATATAATTGTTATATGATTATGCGGAATTTAGTCTGAGGAAACTATTGTATAGTAAAACAAACTATTGTATTGAGGAAACTATTGTATAGTAAAACAAATGCGGTAGTTTTGTAAATTGTTCAGTGAAAATCTCACAATAAATTGTTACTTGAATANTCAGCTCACAGAAACATTTCTATAGAAATTTCAATACTCTACAACATGCTCTATACTGTACACACTTTTCTAAAATAGAATACCAAAAAATTGAGTTGAAACCAAATAAATTTTTTTTGTATTATTCAAATGCGAAATAAAATTTTGGGATGAGCGAGAATTTGTTTTCCAACGGAAATAGTCAGATTTCCACGCAGGAAAGGAGAAAAAATTATGCTTATCATGTTGTTAAGGATCCCGTATGTAAATTATTAATGTTTGTTGGGATTGATAAATATATTAATATCGAAATATCAACAGAAAAAGGAAGTAAAAGACAGTTCTCATATTCTCGGCAATCACTCTTTTCTGTTGAATTTACTATACTAGTGTTCGAGTATCAGGCATGAAGATAGAATACCAATCCAAGAGCTGTAGAAGAAGTGTTTCCAAATATTTACAATATATCCAGATTAGAGAAAGCTATATGAGGGCAGTATCATTTTTTTTTTCAACACGCTTTTATATTAGCTATTAGCTGTATGTAGGTATGTTTGTTTGTAACATACTCAAGCTCGGGATCTGTATTTGTCAGAATTATCGACATTATTGCTTGATCTATTCGCGGGCAGATGGCGCTGTGAGTAACCTCCTTGAAATATCGACATTATTGCTTGATCTATTCGCGGGCAGATGGCGCTGTACGTAACTCCTTGATATATCGATATTATTGCTTGATCTATTCGCGGGCAGATGGCGCTGTAAGTAACTTTTTTTTAAATTTTAACTCACTTTACATGTATTTCTTCATTTGGAAAAAGTATTTTTTCTTTATTAACACGCGTACCTGCTCCATTCCTTGGGCTTGGTAACTGATTTTCAGACTCCCTCTCTGGAATCGGAAAATATCAGTCATTTTTCTAAACAATATACGGCTAAACAATATACGGTTTAAAAAGACTAAAAAACACGCTTTTATAGCATACGAAACTAAAAAATGAAGAATAAATATAGTTTGAGACATTAAAAAACACGCTTCAATGTACATCGAACTAAAAAGTAAAAATTATTTTTTTTAAATAAGCTTAAAACAATAACGAATGAAAAATACTAATATTATCTAAATTATTTAGAATATCAAATCAGAGAAAATGCATCACCGACAATTGAATTGAAATTCAGCATGTGGATTTTTCATATGTTTGTTTCGGTATCTCTTGTATCTAGTCTATTTCCGCTTGATAACCGTTTCCAGCACTCCATCACGTTCTGTAAACATTTATATGATGGCGGAAAAAACAAACAATTCGTTAGTTAATTCCGCTGAGCCCCAATATTTTGC